GATTAAAAAAAAAAAGGTACACCATATAGGGCACTTACCATGAATGGAGCTTACAGGAAGTTGCTCTGGGTGAGTCAGAAAGTGAGTGGTGAGTGAATGTGAAGGCCTAGGACATTACTGTACAGCACTGTAGACTTTATCAACACTGGACACTTAAGCTACACTAAATTTATTAAAAACATTTTTCTTTCAATCAATTAATCTTCACAGACTCTAACTTTACCTTATGAACTTAAAAAAATTTAACTTAGACTCTTTGGCAATAATGCTTAGCTTAAAACACACATTGCACAGCTGTACAAATATATTTTCTATCCTTACATCCTTATTCTATAAGCTTTTTTTCGATTTTTTCTTTTTTACTTTTTAAAATCTTTTGTTAAAAGCTAAGACACACACACACACACATTAGCCTAGGCCTGCAGAGAGTCAGGACCATCAATATCACTGTCTTCCACCTCCATATCTTGTCCCACTGGAAGGTCTTCAGGAGCAATAACACACAGCGACCGTCATCTCCTATGATGACAATGCCTTCCTCTGGAATACTTCCTGAAGGACCTGCCTGATACTGTTTTACAGATAACTTTTTTTAAGTAAGTAGGAATCAATTGTAAAATAACAATTAAACGTAAATACACAAATCAGTAATATAGTCATTTACTGTCGAGTACTATATACTGTACATAATTGTATGTGTTCTACTTTTATATGATTGACAATTCAGGTTTTATTTACACCAGCATCACCACAACCATGTGAATAATGCATTGCACTATGATGTTAAGATGACTATGATGTCACTAAGCCACAGGAATTTTTCAGCTCCACTAAATCTTATGGGACCACTGTTGCATATACATCAGCCATTGACTGAAATGTCATTATGTGGCACATGACTGTATATAGTTTCAGCAAAACCATAAGCTCTTTTGAATATAATAACACACATTGGGGAATACATTAGTTTTATTTTTTTCTTACAGATAGCATTTTTAGAGGCCTCTGTCACCCTACCCAAATCTGTGCTTGATAATCTCTAGGCTTCTGTCATCCTAGACTTCCCTTCATCACCCTGGGAATCAATCTCCTCCTTCTCTCCTCCATTGAATCCCTTGTTTCCATGAGTATCACGTTCTTCTCTTTCTTCAATTATTTCCTTATTTTTAGTGACTCACATTCACCAGTAACTTTTTCAAAATGGATATCTAAAAATATTGTGATTCCATCCTAAAAAACAATTGTTATTTGAACTAGGTATAGAATTCTATCTTGAAAATTATTTTCCTTACGAAAGTTTTAGGAACTTCTCTGTTACTAACTTTCAGTGTTGCCATTGAGAAGCCCAAAGCTATCCTGATTCCTATTTCTTTGTAGATAAATTCCATCTCCTTCCTAATTACCAGGCACTTTCAGAATATTTTTTAATCTGATGTTCTGAAATTTCATGACGATTCACCTTGGTGTGCTTGCTTTCCATTAGTCATGCTGAGTTTTCAGTGTGCACTTCATTATTAATTAAACTCATTTGTTCCCTTTTACCTCCATACCCACCTTCTATCTCCCTGCTATAAAAATTATCATTAAAGTAAAATAAAAATTTAAAAAATTACAATATATTCAAAATGTGCCTTTGATTTGAATGTATTTTCACAAACTGTATGTTTTGTGTGCATGTAGTTTTATGTAAATGGTATCATATCACAGTGATTCTTTCTTGTTTTCACTAAAATCTATGTTCTTAAGATATGTTTCATGTGTACACAGTATTTGTTGCTCTGTGCTACATAGGATGCCACAGTACACACTGCTACATACTACGCCATGGTATACACCAAATGTTTTACCTATATAATCTCCCAGTTATAGATATCCAAGTTGCCTCCAACTCCCCACAACCATGAAATAATGCTGGAAAGAACATCCTTGCATCTGTCTCAACACATCTTTTAAACTGGCAATGTGAGTCTTTTGGTTCTGGGAACATTTCTTGTATTTTTGTTAATTTTTTCCTTTCTATTTCTCTGTTCTTGTTATAGAACTCCTGTTATAGTTAAAAATTGGATCAATCCTGTTTTTTTGTTCTATTTTCTAGGTAATTTCACCAATTTTATATTCCAAACATTTATTATCTTTATAGTTTTATTACATTCTTATATTTTTACATTATTTCATTTTTATATTTAATGTAAATTTACTTCGTAAAATGAATGTACACTTTACATTAATTTCCAAGAGCCCTTAACCTCTAAATGTCTTTTTTTTATTTATTGGTCTGTTATTCTGTAAATGAAATGGTTTCTCTTCTATCTCTAATCGTAAATACAGCTTTTAAAATTGTCTTCTACTCTCTGCATTGTTCATATTTCCTCAATTTCCTTTTTTTATTCATGATTTTGTTTTTTATTCTTTCATGTTGGGCATTTTCCTCAAATGCTGATGATCTCTAGATGTGTGTTCATATTTAAGAGCATGGCACAAAAGCTCATTGGCAACTCTGTATGTAAGCTTGCAGCTTGTGGAATGGTGAGTGTAATGGGATGACTGGAAGCCCCCCAAAAGATCTGTTCACATCCTAAGTCTTGGAACATGTGAATGTTACTTTATTTCGAAAAATAATGTTTGTAGATTATTAAATTAAGGATGTTCAGATAAGAGATCATCCTGGCTTATCAAAATGACCCTAAATCCAATGACAAGTGGCCTTAGAAGAGCAAAGTGGAGGGAAACTGCACAGACATTGAACAAGAGGCAATATGATCACAGAGGCAGAGATTACAGTGATGTGGCTATAAGCCAAGGAATGCCTGGGGCTGCCAGAAGCTAGAAGAGGAAGAAAATCAATTCTCCTTTAGAGCCCTTGGAGGGAGCACAGCTGTATTCATCCATTTTCATGCTGCTGATAAAGACATACACAAGCCTGAGAAATTTACAAAAGAAAGATGTTTCATGGACTCACGGTTCCACATGGCTGGGGACACCTCACAATCATGGCAGAAGGTGAAAGGCACATCTCACTTGGCAGCAGACAAGAGAAGAGAGCTTGTGCAGGGAAACTCCCTTTTATAAAATCATCAGGTCTTGTGACACTTAATCACGAGAACAGCACGGGAAAGACCCACCCCCATGATTCAATTACCTCCCACCGGGTCCTTCACAACACCTGGGAATTGTGGGAGCTACAATTCAAGGTGAGATTTGGGTGGGGACACAGCCAAACTATATCAACTGCCCTGCCAGATTTTGGACCTCTACCCTTCAGAACTATAAGAGAATAAAGTTTCTCTCACAGTTTTAAGCTGCAGAGCTACAGTAATTAGTTGAAAGCAGCCACCGGTAATTAATATAACGAGTCTCACCAAAGATGATGAGATGGGAACCTGTTTCTCTGGTCTCCCCCAAATATCAGTATAAATTTGTCCCTTCTCTTCAGACAGACAGTTTCCCACGAGAGGAATCCTCTCAACTCCTACCAGATTGCTATGTTTTTAAGAGTCAAGCAGAAGTGGGCTGGACTATGCACATTCAGTTTGTAGACTTTCATTTAGCCCTCCTGTTTTCAGTACAACATATCAACACTACCCTCAGGTGTACCTGATGGTACAATTCCAGGCTTCTCTGATTCCACATCTACAGAGATTAAGTCTCCTAACTTTTGCTAGGGTGGGGGTTGGGTGAAGCAGATATCTGTCAGCATTGCCTGGAGGTTATAGTGGGGTAGGGCAAGGAGTCTAATGTTCCTTACAAGGACTTTGCATCAATCCTCTTGTTTTTAGCACCATGCCTACCCCAGCTCTCAGACCTACCTGGTGTCTCCAATTCCTGAGTGTTTCTAGGGCTCTGAAGGACAATCAGTTTGCTTTTATACTGGTATTCCCTAAACAATTAAATTTCAGCTTTCCTACCACTGTCAGTTGCCAATTTTTTCCTATGTTCAAAAATGTTGTTGACATCTCTCATCTCTTGTCATTCCTCTTGTTCCCTTTGTCCTAGTGCCCTTCTTAAAATTTATTTTCTGTATTAGTGGAGTTTCAAGAAATGACCAACTTAGTTCAATCTGCCATGTTTAAACACAAGCACCACCTTATAAATTTTCATTTGAAGAACGTATGCCACTCTGACAAAAAATTAAGTTCAGTTTTGCTTAGAAAAATAAAAGAATCTCTAAAATATATCTCCATCTTGGCTATTCTAAGATGTTACATTATAATTTCTTCACACTCCATGACAAGTCCCATTTTTTCATCTTTGCTTACGGTGTAATGTTCCCCTTCCTGAAATGTTCACTCCCATATAGTCTGTGTAATCCTACTACATATTTCATAACCCAAGCAAAATCCCAATCCTTCATGAAACTACCCCTGATGACTTCAGACTACATAGATTTGTTCTTTCCTCAAAACAAATGATTATATCTTGTATAAGTCAGTAAAAGAACTATTCTCCATTTCATGTGTTTGCATCATCTTCTTAGCAAAACATGTTTCTTAAGGAGAGGAACCACACCTTATACTTTGTGTGCTCCTGGCAATGCTTACCATGGTATTGGACACCAAATAGTTGCAGATTTGTACAAACTAATACAAGCCACAAATATGAGAGTTGATGCCCAATACACTACAGAGTAATTAACTTTTGAGGGAGAGCCTGTGTCTAATTCAACTTTATTTCCCTAACAACCAGCACAATGTTTGACATAGGTCTCTGTCTGCTGAGTTACTGAATGAAAGCATGGATGAATAAATGAACTCTCACTAGATACTGTGTTCAGTGTTGTGCCTGAGGTCAAGACTTTTTAATTCCTGAAAATAATTAAGATTATTAGAACGACAGTTCACTACTGTATTCCCAGCATCTAGAAAGCATTTGGCACAGAAGAACTGCTCGGTAAGTGTCTTCTAAATGAAGGTTAAATGAATGAATCTGCCATGAGTCAGGAGGTATTAGTTTACAGTTAGCAGTCAGCAAATGAGTTAAGAAGAGAGAAACATCTGGCTCACCCGGAAAGCACTCCCAGGACTAGGTTGAGAACAAAGAAGGATCCAATGATGATGAGGGGGATGAAGTACAGCCAATTCCAGGTGGCTCCTAAGGCATCATTGGTCTGAAAGAAAGAAAAATGGTTCCTTAATACTTAAAGCCATCTTCCATAAGTAAAGCTAACATTCCTGCAGCTTCACAGAGGGTGATGTAACAAGCGCAATGCAATACAGTTAAATATTGCCTTACTCCATTCCCAATTTGGCATTACTATGAGTTAGCTCACAATCTCCCATGTACATAATGAAGAACATAGCATGAGCCTCACCCTAATATACTGAGTTGGAATATTCTCACACCCTCGCTTAGCACATGGGAAGACAATACAGAAAGGTCAGATACTTTTCCAAAGTCATGCAAACAACCACTGGTTTTACAGCATTTGGTAATGTAGGTTCTAAGCCTCTGCACACAAAATTGGGCAAATTCTCAAAAAGACAAAGGCAGGTTGTGCCCAATCTATTCCATGGATGCTAGCAAAGGCCTTGACAGGATTATTTAGAAGAAATGTTAGGGTCCTCTGTGTCTTGCTCAGCCCTTGACCCGGACCCAGCTTGCTTTCTTCCATCACAGTACAATAGTACAGAGCTGGCCCAGGCCTGGCCCCCGCAAGGCTCTGGCCAGAACAAGGAACAAATCTAGATTTGAAGAGTGATCACTTGCACTCTAATGTTAACACTCAGTGAATTAAAAAATGCCTGCAAATCCATATTCTGGATTCTCATATCACGAACCAGTTGCAAGACCCTTCAATGGTCAGGGATTGAAGAAGAATTATATCTTATGACTTAAACAAAAGAAAGAAGCAATTCTTAGCAGGATGTCATATTAGAACCTTGAAATAGAGCTTGGGACCCTCTCTAAAAGCTGTACCACTGAATTAAGGGTTCTCAGTCTTCCCTTTGACTCTTCCTCCCCTGACAGCACCTCCAAGTCTTTCCAAATAGTCTTCCTGAATTGCATTTCACATATGCAGGGCTTTGAAATCTCTTCAACCCCCCACCCACTCTCTCACACACAAACTCTAAGACCCATTTGAAACTTACAACAGATATTTTATCTTTAATTCACTGGAAAAACAAGGCCAAAGTCAAATGCCATGCCTAAAACTCACAAGCTAAATTAGTAAAATTAAGACCAGAACTCAGAATTTCTATGGCAAAGTATTTCTTGTCCCTCCAATTTACCTTTTCCCCCTCTCACTACTAAATTTTGAAAATGTATTTTGATTCATTGTCCTCATGTTTCCTGTGGACTTCTGTGACATTCTCTTGTTTTCTCCCAAATTATCTCCCATTCAAATATTCCAGTCTGCAGAATATAGCCTCTTACCAATCATGGCAGCTATCACTGTATAGTCGATTCATCCATTAAAAACAGTTTGACTTTTATTTTAAGTTCAGGGGTACATGTGCAGGTTTGTTATATGTGACTCATGTCACAGCGGTTTGTTGTACAGATTATTTCATCACCCAGGTATTAAGCCTAGTACCCAATAGCTGCTTTTTCTTGATCCTCTTCCTTCCCCCACCCTTCACCCTCCAAAAGGCTCCAGTGTGTTGATCCCCTCCCTGTGTCCAGGTGTTCTCATCATTTAGCCCCCTCTTATAAGGGAGAACATGCAGTATTTGGTCGTCTGTTTCTGTGTTGGTTTGCTAAGGATAATGGCCACCAGCTCCATCCATGTTCCTGTAAAGAACATGTTCTCATTCTTTTTAAGGCTGCATAGTATTCCATGGTGTATATGTACTGCATTTTCTTTAACCATTCTGTCACTGGTGGGCATTTAGGTTGATTCCATGTCTTTGCTATCATAAATAGTGCTACAATGAGCATATGCATGCATGTGTTTTTATAAGAGAATGATTTATATTCCTTTGGGTTATAAGCAAATCCAGTAATGGGATTGCTGGGTTGAATGCTAGTTCCGTTTTTAAGTATTTGAAGAATCACACCACTAAAACAGCTTCTAAGACAATCTCCTTTCACCAAACTTGTGTGTTTTGTTTTGCCCCAACACTATTCAGAGAGAGATAATTGCAATTGAAGCAGTATAAAAGTTAAAAGTAAACAAGAAAACACTTTCTGAATGGGAAGGGACAGATGCAGACACCTGCCAATTTCAGTGTGTAAGATGGAGCTCTTTGGTTCAATCAGGTCTGGTCAATTAAATACAATCAGGGAAGATGTGGGCCAGAACTCAGAGAAAACTGTTCCTGAATATTAGCAGAAAGATGCAGAGGAACTAGATGCCAAGAGTTGTGGAGGGTTTTAACGGAGGTAGGAAGCCATTTTCTCTGAGTTTGTTAAGACATGGACCTTCCCTATGAGCTGAAAAATGAATTGCAATGATATTTGTATAGCTAGCTCTGTGTTTATTCATGATCACAAATCAGTCCTTCTGTAAGGCTGGCTAGCTCTGATGGTTCACCAGTAGAGTTCCAGATTAACAGGGTTTATTCACTCTATGGCTTAGCCAGTGGCCAAACCCCCCAGCACCGCAACATTCCTTGGCAAGAAAAACTGAGTCTATATCCAGCACCCAGATAGGACTTTGTTGCCAATAAACATTAGCAGGTATCAGCAATAGCAATGATGAAATTGTGACTTTTAAGATATTTTTGTTCTTAAATAATTGAGCTACAGTTTGAGGGTGGCTCAGAGCAATTTCACACGGGTGACTACTTGCAAGGGATGCTGTAAAGAGGATGTCCAAAATTACATTGTTCTCATTGCTAGAGATCTGTAAGAAGTTAATGTATTTTGTGGAAAAGGGGCTTCTGTAACCAAAGACATTTGGGAAACACAGCAGATTATACTTTCTTCTGAGCCTCTGACGAGATCCACAAAAAAAGAACATTATTTACCTTGTTTACCCCATCATTTCATAGACGCTTTTGATCATGGAACCCTCATTTTCAGAGAAAATCTAGTAACACATCAAGGAATATAGTCTATGAAATGTAGGAACTACAGTGGGTCAGAATCTGGAATGTGTTTCTCAATTCTATAAAAAACCATTGATGAGCAGTGTCTTTTGATTCAGCATTTTGTGAGTATGTTTTGGTGCTGCTTCAACCTATATTCAGGCAGAAACCTTAACTGTCTGCTCATTTCTGTATCTGGCACCTAACTAAGGGTTTGGCACACATAGATGGTCAACTAATCAGAAAACGTCCACGATTCTAATAAGAAGATTCTCCTGTTAAAAATACACTGATACAGTTCATTCTGATAGCCCCCCTCAATCTGTGGAGATTTCTCTGAATTGCCGCAAACATTATCCACCACAGTGTTGGGGCCTGCTGGATGAAAAAGGAGAAGGATGGGAACTAGAAGGAGAAAAAGAATAGCTGGGACGACACCAGCACCAGCAAGGCCCTAGGGGTTCTTGAAGATGACTGACAGCTTAAAAGATTCTTTTGGAGAAAGTAGCTTGACAGCTCCTGTAGGTTATCACATGCCTTTTAATAGGCTTGCCCCACCCTCTCCACACCTTGCTCCTCTCCCTCCTGTTTCATTCTTCCTGGCCAGGTGGCTTCCACTCCCCTTGCATGCTTGTCCATGGGTCAGTGACACACCCGGTAGGACAAAGGGACACACCTCGGCAGGACGCAGGCTAGCAAAGGAATGCGTGCTTCCCTTTTTCAAAATGGCACGGCTCTTTCTGAGGCCAGTTGGGGCTTCAATCTCCTTCTGATTCATCATTATTAAAACAAAATTGTCCAGTGTAGGAGAAACAACGACTCAAGTGTCCTTTGAGATTAAAAAAAGCAGCAGCGACCGACAACTCGAGGCAGCAAGTACCCAGAAAGCACGTGAAGTGGGAGTCGGGGTGAAGTTGCCAGTTCAACAGTGGAGTTGTGACTGTTTTCTTTCTCGTGGTGTGCACGTTTCTGTCTCAGCAGGAGGTGCAAGAGAGGAAGGTTGCCGTGAGTGAGAGGGAGAATCACTCATTCTCTCTCTACAGCATTCCCCCAGCTTCTGTGACAGAGTGGCAGTTCTCACAAGCTCCTTTCATGTAAGACTTGCACTCTATTTTCCCCAGCAACTCTTCCTTCAGGAACACGGGACAGCCATGCTAAGTACTCCAATCAAGATCCTGGCCCCACGAGAACCTTCACAACCCAGGCCTCTACTGTGGAGCAGCTAAGGGAAACCAGGGCCCTCCCTGCAAAGAATGCTGCCCAGAAAATGCTAGCCCCTCCATCCCACACCACTCATGCAACACCTACTATGAGTCAGGCATCACAGAAGAGCGCTTCTGTTTGGTCAGTGTCCTCTTACATGGGGCACTGATGCTCCTCCCATCTCCCAACACCCTCCCCACCCAGCTCTTCCCTAGACTGGCATGCTGGCTGCTTTCCATCTTCCTCACCTGCCGATCCCCTGAGTGACACACACATGCACACGTGCACACGACGAGGGTGATGACAGACAGAAAGCAGTTCGGGGGCGGCAGCCCACCTGCACAGGAGTGCTCAGCGGGTACCAGTCCTGACATTGTGGGAATGTGTTCCTTTGGGAACCTGACTGATGGGGGTGGCGAGCTCACCCACTCCCTGTGTAAACAGGCACACATGGCAATTATCACATTAATCTCCAGGGGATTGGGGGAGATGCTACAAGGTAGGGTGGGAGGAGGATTGGAGAGAAGGATGGAGATACAGCAAGCAGGAGGAAAGGGGCCCCATGGGTCCCCTGAGCTGAGGCTATGTGAGCAGGGCCCAGCCCCCAGCCCCAGAGACAGGTCTCTAACGGGGTTCCCCAGGGCTCCATGGAAAACATTCTCCCTGTCTGTGCACCCTCTTCACAGAGCAGCTCTAACCTGGGAGGCTGAATTGCCTATGATTGAGTGGGAAGGCTGAGTGTGTTGGGGCTGGGAGTAAGGCAGATGCTGATTCCATGGTCCTTTCAGAAGCAAAGGGTCTCTGGAAGACACCTGCTCCAAAGGCTGGCAGCAGCACCTGCTGGTTAGAGCAGGGCTGGCCTAGGGAGGGTTTCCTCCACTGCGCACTGCCAGCACCTGTGGACAGACAGTTCTGTGTGATGGGGGCTGTCCTT